GTTTTTGTTCTTCATTTAAATCATCTTCTCTCATTCATATTTTTCATAGCGTATTGAGCTTCATTTATATTCATATATACTCTAGTTGTGAGCTTTGATTTGCATATCAATCTTTGAGAGATATATTTGTATGCAACAAATTTGATGTTCACTTGTAAGGGCGTGTGTGGCCTAAGGAAGAAGAAGCAAGTTAGCTTCAATTTGTAAGGGTTGGTGTGACCCAAATGAAGACTAAAAAAAGTTGTCTCTTAGCAAGGTGTTGTTTCATGTAAAAGTTTGCTCTCTACCCGTAAGGAGAAACTATAGTGGATTGGGAAGTCTCAAGAGGGATCTTAAGCCGAGGAGTAGGAGTTTCCGATCCTCGCAAAAATCGTCGTGTTATAGTTTGCAATTTCTCTTCTCTTATCTCTTTTACAATTGTGCAATAAATTGTTTACTTTCATATCTTGATTTCATATGTTGATTATTGCATAATTGGTTATATTGTTGATTAGAAATTGTATTTCTATAATTTGCGAAAATTGGCCATTAACTCTATTCACCCCCCCTAGAGTCAATTCTTGGTTAACAGTGTGTATAAGGCCATACATAGCACATACTATTGGAGTTATGAGTAGATTTCTTTCCAACCCTAGAAAAAGAACATTGGGTAACAGTGAAGTGGATTCCCAGGTATCTCAAGGGTACTTCTAGAGTTTGTCTTAATAATTATACAAAATAATTTAATAATTATACAAAATAATTTAATAATTCAATTACAGCAATTAGGCATGTAGAGATCAAGTTATAACAACAATTCATGCATCAAATTACAAAATCATACAAAGCATGCAAACATATATTTAAACATATAAACTTTATGTTTTATACAGATTTGGTGGAGAAAACTGTTTTCACCCTAACATAACTGATGTGGCACCGATGTTTGGGACCAGGTGTAAGCTTGGTCGATTGTTCGAACTCTCATCTCTTCATCTGCCTACTCCCACCATTTTCGCTATATTTACACAGGTCAATTCTTTTTTTCTTGAATTATGACACTCCTGCTTAGGTCATGTTTCCTTGCCTCGTGTCAAAACTTTAGTCTCTAAAGGCTAGTTAGGTCAAGTTAAAACTAAGAATTTTGAATGTATTTCATGTCAGCTAGGCAAACAACCCGCATCACCTTTTAGTACAAGTGAATCACGTGCTTCTACTCCTTTTGACCTTATTCATTATGATGTTTGGGGACCTTCGATGTCTATAATAGGTGGATCACGGTATTTTGTGATATTTGTTGATGATTTATCACGGTTCACATGGATATTTTTGATGAAAAACCGTTCTGAGTTACTTAATATATATTTTGATTTTGCAAAAATGATTTTAACTCAATTTTCTAAAAATATAAAAAAAAAAAAAAAATCATTATAACAATGCTATGGAATATCAACAAAATGCATTTTTTTCAAATTCTCAAACATTATGACACTATTTCTCACTCATCTTGTCCCAGCACATCACAACAAAGTGGTAGAGTTAAGCGCAAACTTCGACATATTCGAGACACAGTTTTCTCACTCACATTTTCTGCTTAGGGGGAAACAACTCTTATTGGGGGGAAGTGACTCTTTTTGGGGCCTTGGGGGGAAACAACTCTTACTACTGTATACACTATCAATCATGTGTCACCACCTCTCTTGCACAACCAAACACCATGTAAGCGTTTATTTGGCAAACCACCTGAGTACAATCGTCTTAGAGTTTTTTGGGTGTGCCTTTTTTGCTCTTCTCCAACCCCACAAACGCACAAAATTACAACCATGTGCTTGACTTTGTTACTTTCTTGGGTACGGAATTAGACAGATAGGGTATCGGTGTGATGATCTAATCGCTAAACGACTTATTGTCTCTCGTCATGTAGTCTTCTAGGAACACAAGATGTTCTATATATTGTCCAAATTTAATGTTTTTGAAAATGCATTTCCTATTCCTTCATTAACATACTCTGCAGATCTTTTTTCTGATATTCACCCTTCAGAATCATCAGAGGCAGTCAATCCTCCTTCGACCAAGTCCTAGTCATTTGCCCAATCCGATTCTCATGTCAGCAAAACTACTTTAAATCTAACAGGAAGAAATGGACATCAGAAGCATTTTAATTCTTATTTATGCTTCTGATGTCTTATTTGTAGTAGCTTTGTGCTGGTTCTTACTTCCTTGGAAATATAATTGGGTAATTTTTATCTTAGATTAGTATGTTATTTACTAAAAGAGTTTTTTTTTTTTTTTAATTTTTTTTTTTTGGGCAAAGGTAAATGACTTTTTTTTTTTGGCTCCACAAAATAAAGGTTGCAATTGGTCTTGTGATAATGGACAAGAAGAAAAAAAGGGGTCAAAAAGCAAACATTTATAATAATAATAAAAGAAAAGCTAGGCCAGTGAACGAGCTTCGGATTATTACAAGTTGAAGAGGTTTTATTTTAGATTATAAACATGTAACCTCTAAGTCACCCTCGACAATATTTGTGTGATTGGTCAAGAACAAAGTTATGGTATTATTCTAGAACCCAAAAGCACACGAACCCTCGGACTTGGGAAAATCAGATTGTTTGTTTAAACATTAAAAAAAAAGGGCTTACAATAGAGATTTGCAAATTATCTTTAAAATATGTTCTAATATTTTCTTGTTTTCATGTCTCTGAGTTCTCCGTTTTTCTAAGAGTAGAAATAGTATTCTCCCCATTCTCAATCTACACTTCCTCACTCTTCCTCTTTCAAAAAGCTGAATTAAACAAGTACCACGTAACGAAACTTTTAACATACTGAAGTCATTAGAAATCCCTCCTTTTCTACCTGATTAATCAAATACTTTCTTTGTTTCAAATTAAATGTCTAAATTTTTATTTTTGATTGTCTCAAAATAAATGTCACATTTAAAAGTCAAAGTACTATTTTTGTAACATTACCAATTAAACATTCTTACATTAAACTTATAAAAAGTAAACAATCTTGTGGACCCGCTATGAACATATTTAGTAATTCATTCATTATCAATACAATAAAAAATAAATTAAAATTCATCATCTTAAAAGTTAAATTTTTTTAAAAGAATATCTAATTTACGAGGAAGGGAGTAATAGTTAGATAAAAAATTAATAATTTATTAAATTACAAATGGGTATTGACAATGATCAATTTGATCTAATAATAATAATAATATTAATAATAATATGGATAATTTCACTGACACCCCCAGTAGTTTGGTCAAATATCAATCTAAAACATCTTTCGAAAATAACTATCACTCACATTACAAACGTTTGCTCCGTTTTTCACTTACACCCCAAAAGTTAGTTTACAGATGTGTCAGACCACTTTTTACATGTAAAAAGACATTTTTACCCTTTGACTTTAGTTTGACCCTGACTTTAGTATACCCTCATTTTTTTAATTTATTTTTTTACAAAATATCAGTATTAAAAGACAATATGGCCCCTCAAAAATTTGTAAATTTACAAATTATATTATATATACAGGCAGACATATATATACTCCTATATACACACACAGACATATATATATATATATATATATACACACACACACACACACAAGCACAACACCACCCCCAAATACAGCGGCGGAGTCGCCGTCGAATCCGACAACGGCCGCTCATTCGCCGTCAAAGTCGACTCTCCCACCTTCCAAACCGATGTCTCCCTCGCCGCGACCTCATCTGCAGGTCACTCGGATCTTCCAATCCTCATCATCGGACCCTTTCCTCGACCTCTCCGACTACCTTCAAGACCCGGATCTGTCTCGCCGGATCTCCAAGACCCAGTCATCTCCCTCTTCGCAGAGCTCGTCTCCGCCGGATCTGTCTTGCCGGCGCCATCAACATTCTCATAGCCGTCTTCGCTCTCTATCTCCAAGCTCGTTGTTGCTGCTACTCTACCGCCGAGCCGAGCTCTTCACTGCCGAATTGGAGTTGTCATCTCTCCCGCTAATCCACTCGCTACCAAGTCCTGCGAATCCTCCTCCATTCGCCCCTCGCCGGTTCTCTCAAACCCAGATAATCAGTATATATATAGTTCTCACGGCCAATTCAGTCCACCGAGCTCGGCTGTGGCTGATGAGCAAGGGTCTTCAGAAGGCAGCCGGTAAGCAAAAGAAGCTTAGCTCGCTCTTTCTCTCCCGGCGACAAGCACTCGTTATCGCCGTCGCCGCCCTAAACCATGTTGCCGCTTCTGTCGCCCGAAGTTTCCCACAGTCGTCGGCGACACCACCACCACCATCACCCCATCATCACGGACCACCAACCACCAATCTCTCTATACACTTTCTCTCTCTTATGCAACACACCACCCACCACCAAAAAAGCCTTAACTTTTGGAACCACCACCCACCACCACCACCACGACGGCCAACAGTTCCATCTACCCAATTGTCGGGATATAATTGTCTTTTAACTAATCTGATATTTTGAAATAAATGTTATTAAAAAAATAGGGGCAAAGTTGTCTTTTCACATGTTTTTAACGGAGGCTGTAACGGAAAATAAAAAATGGACCTAAGTGATAGTTATTTTCGAAAGATGTTTTACACTGATATTTGGCCAAACTACTAGGAGTGTCAGTGAAATTATCCCATAATAATAATAATAATTTGATCTAACACTCTAACATAATATTATATAAATGTAATACGATATAAATGTAATGCTATACTATAAGACAAACACCATATTAAAAAAAAAAACGATATAAATGTAATGCTTTACCATAAGACAAACACCATATTAAAAAAAATAAAAATAATAATAATAATAATAATAATCTAACAATTCTGAATTATTACAGTATTAATTGAAAATTTCATAATAAATAAAAGCAAAAAGAAAAAGAAAAAAGTGATGTTCTATCAGCTCATGTATGTTTTTCCGTATTTGACCACACAAACCTTAAAAAGCTTGTGCGGGGCTGTTTCAGTCAGAATTTGAAAGTGCGGCTGTCAAGTGTTGTTTGGGTTTATGTTCAGTTCTGTTCTGCTCTGTTCTGTTCTGTTCAATTCATGACTCACGTGCATCACAAATGACGTCATCAACCCCTTCTATTTTCTCTCTATTCAATAATAAGAAAAGAAAAAATGATATTTTTGACCGCATCATCTGGTTTCTACCCACCCTACCCTACCCTTATCTCCTCCACCGACTGGATCTGCAATCTCTCTCCTTTGAGGTAAGACCTATCTGCAATCTTTCTCTCTAGATTATTATTGTTATTCTCAATTTTTTGTGTAAATTTCTCTCTCTTAATTGGTAAAGATCTGTTCTTTTTGATGGATGAAGCTTGCTAGGGTTTTCCTCGTCGTAGAACCAACCAGTCATGGCTATGTCCAGTTTTTTCCATCAAAAGGGGGTGCGTTTTCTTCTCTTTAAGCAATTTGCAAGTTCTGATTTGGTGTTAGATCTTTTATGCAAAATAATTGTTGATATGAAATTTCAGTAGCAAATATATGTGTATATATATATGTATACATATTGTTCTCTAATTTTTGAACCATTCATACTAACAGCGGCTGTGGATCGAGAAATTATTGCATCTGTATAATGGCACATCATACTCTACCATTCTTGTTATATGACTTGGCTGAAATTCACTGCTTTGCTTGGATTGCAATTGAGAATATTTTTGCTTATGCCTCTAAGAGTACGTTTTTGTTCTCTCTTATATGTATATTATATAATATTATTCTTCTTTTGTTATAGTGAATTACTTGATCGTTGCAAGAAATAATGATTACTTGTTTCTGTTGTATTTGATTTCCTTACCGGCTGTATTGTTATTTTTTAAATTATTATATTTGCTTATTTATTTATGTATATTGTTTCTGGTTGTTCTAACTTTTAGATGTCCTGAGACCAAAACTTACAATCTTTGTTTTTCTCTGCGAGCATAGACGACATGTATTTATGCATTTACCCTGTGAGAATCCATTGGTAAATAACTTGTTCAAACAAGTTGGCTGTCAATTCTAATAAACGATGACACAACTGATTTTTTGCTGAAATCGAGGGCCAAAAACTTCAAGTAGAAGATATTGCATTATGACTTAAGGATAGAAGATAACCCACTCCGTCCCTATCTATTGCCATTCTTTTCTTCGTCTTCAAATCAAAGAAGAAAAATATAGGAATTCTCTCCTATCGGTCTATGCCAGCACCATAAATCAGGTTGGGGAGGAAGATCACAATTGGAGATTGATAGAAAAGCAAGGGTATGGGCTAGTGTGGGTAGGAAACAAAAAATATCTATTCTAGTTCTATCATCAGCTATGGGTTCAAATCTAAGAGAAATTCTAGAGAGAGACCCGTGATCCCCAAAAGAGGGAGAACTGTATCTTGTCCTTTTACTATTGGCAAAGGGAATTTTGTCCTACCAAAGGATCTTCTATTTTCTCACCCATAGGTTACACTACCAAGAAAAGGATGGTACTTGCCTCTCTAGTTCTGCTTGCTCTGTATTCTTACCAAATAATAATATCCTATGGCAAACTGGCACCACTGGGCGAACTCTGCAGTCTGCATGAGGCAATTTGAAGGGTCACATAGGTACGGCTATGATTTGGACATAGTATAATAGTGAACCCGACTAAGCATGAAGAGATTCTATTGAGCAAAAGAATAAAGTATACCCTATTCTGTTCCTCAATTGGCTTTCTTTTCCTTTCTAAATGAAGGAAAAAGAAAATTAGGTAAGAACTATTTCCTACGGATGATTGCATTCTTGCTCGTGCTTACGGACACATTCCTGCTTGCCAATTAACCAAATGTTTTTCATTAATTTAAATTTTCAATAAATAAGACAATTCATTCTAATTCTCTACCTGGTAAGTGCAGTATGGTGTGCTTGAATATTGACATGGTATTTTGTCCTATAAAGGGAGTTTCTACTACATGCCACACTTCTTGCTCTCCTCTCTTTATTCTTAGAAAAGAGTAAGAACCTAAAAGATGCAAGAAGGGCCCACATCATTCTTAGCCACAAGAAAATGAAACAATGTGCCATTTTGTACCCTGCCCAAATAGTGAAGGCTTTTCCAATCACTTAGATACCATTGCAGCTATCATGATCAATCATATCTTTTCAATGTCAACAGTGAGAGAGAGAGAGAGAGGAGAGAGAGAGAGAGAGAGAGAGAGAGAGAGAGTTAATGTAATGTATTTAAAGTTCTAAACTCAATGGTGAAACCAGTTGCTATTTTTGGCAAAATCTTTCGAGGTATCATATATTGTGCTCACTCTAAGTTGTTGTAGAGTCTCCAGAATTTCTTCGAATTTGGGAACGAGGAGTCCTTCCCTTACCTTGGTTATCTCATTCGTGCAATACAACGCTAGGTTTGTGATCTTGACAGCGTCACTTCCACTGCACCCTGTTTTCCTAATTTCTTTGTTGACCACGTGCCCATTCTTGTCAGCCTCTTCCTTTGCCCAATCCGGTATCACAACATTTCTTATTGAACCCTCCCCCCCTCTTTGTATGACTTCATCTCTTTTCATGATCAGCTGGAGCATTACTACTCCAAAGCTGTAAACATCATACTTTTGTTTTGCGAGATAGACTGCCAACAAAAAATAGGAAGAAAATCAATTGTTAGTTCTGTTTGAAAAAGGAAGTATGGAGTAGTAGATATATTATTACTTGAAAGAGGGGAAAAAAAAGATAAAGAAAAAAAAAAAAAAAAAAAAAAAGAAACTCTCTCTCTCTCACACACACACACCAGCACACACAACACATTTACTTCCACAAAAAGCATAAGAGGCCCATGTTGCAAAATTTTCAAATATTTTGGCAATACAAACAATCATTAGATTACTTATACTTGAGTGATATCGTCTCAGCACTACCATGGTCGTGAACAATCAGATGCAACTAAAACTAAGCTGCTAATGTAATAACATATGCGATAGAATCAACCCTCTGACAAAACAAAGAACAATCATTGGAGTACTTATACCTAAATGATCTTGTCTTAACACTACAATTGTCGTGAACAATCCTCTGTTGATCTCTTTAGGATTCCTCTACTTCGGTTGGATTTTAATTGGTATGGATCGATATCGATTGAAAATTTTGGATGTCGGGATCCAATGATTCTAATTAAGAATGACAACCATGTGCGTGCATATTTGTGAGTTCAATATTTAATGCTTACACACACGCACACACTCTCTAAGTAAGTTTAATAATGTAGCTCAGGAGGCCTCACATCAGCATTGCAAATTTGCAAGTGTATGGGGCAATAAAATTGAATCCTGCACGCACCAGCGCACACACAACCAATACTTCCACATAAAGCATAAGAGGCCCATGTTGCAAAATTTTCAAATATTTTGGCAATACAAACAATCATTAGATTACTTATACCTGAGTGATATCGTCTCAGCACTACCATGGTCGTGAACAATCAGATGCAACTAAAACTAAGCTGCTAATGTAATAACATCTGCAATAGAATCAATCCTCTGACAAATCAAAGAACAAACATTGGATTACTTATACCTAAATGATCTTGTCTCAACACTACAATTGTCGTGAACAATCCTCTGTTGATCCCTCTGGGATTCCTCTGCTTCGGTTGGATTTTTATCACCCCCGGGGGGGGGGGGGGGGGGGGGGGGGGGTATTAGTTCTTTGAGCATGACGTGATGTTCATTTGATGGGATAAAATATTCTTATCAAGGACATTTGACGTAAAGATTGTTTGATATTATTATTTGGAGGGGTTGATATTTGTCTGTATATTCTTTTATGCAAAAAAAAGTATCATCCAAAAGTCCATTTTCCAATGATAGTTATGCCTAAGTTGGGTGCTTGTGGGAAAAGGCTAGAGAAAAATTAACCTTTTGGCATTATCTTTGCTTCAAGATTAGTCATGTTTTATAAAAAGGATAAAGAGAGGGAAAAGGTATATCCACAATCTACAAATGCATAAGGTAAAAGGATTAATAATAACAATGATTATTATACCGAGGGTTGAGCTAGAGAGTAACAAATGAACTTATTGTGGAAAATTTGCTAGGCATGTCCCATCACTCTCATTTTCTGAAATCCCTAACTATAAGCTATTGCGAAATTTCGCTGACCTTTAGCGGTTTTCTTCACTTGTATGTTGAAAGCAAGAAGGTAAACCTTAATATCATCCCATTTCCAATTAGTATCAGAGATTTTGTAAAGACTATTGAAAAAGATGAATATATGTTGCACACTAAAGCTAGAAGTAAATATATTTACGTGAGCGGTGAGCAGAAGGAGCTATATATCCATAGGTAAATGCCATCAGCGTCTCATCCACCCTTGTCACAGTACCAAAATCAGAAATCTTGGGCTCACCGTCCTGGTCATTGAAATAAGGGGGTTAGAAGAACCAGGAGCAAATATAAAATTCAGACTTCAGCAGTATATTAAATCAATTATGTCCATTTTAAAAGTCACTCAATTCATATATGTTTCCTTGGAAGAATTTCTGATCATAAAATTCAGACTTCAGCAGTATATTAAATTGATTATGTCCATTTTAAAACTCACTCAATTCATATAAGTTTCAATCTTTATAAAAGAAGCTAAATGAGAAACACTTCCTTGGAAGAATTTCTGATTGCTATTTTGTGGGGCATCTATGTTTGTGAGGATGCTAACAAATTATGAATTCCAACGATAACAACAGCAATTGCTGTGTAGGGGTAAAATTTGAAAGAGTTAAAGAGGGAGATGCCATCATTGAAACAAGAATTTTTTTATTCCTCACCTGTCCCAATAAGATATTTTCTGGTTTTAAGTCTCCATAGACCACCCCAGGGAAGTCTCCACAGACCACCCCAGGGAGGTAGGTGTGGATGTATTTCAGAGCACTGGCTATTCCTCTGAGTACCTTGAGGATCCCCGGCCAGTCTAACCCTGCAGACAAATTTAAACACAATACAATAATTATGAGCAGCAACCCCACTTCAAATGTAATATGCTATTGCTTAACTCAGAATGTATTCTGTTATTACCTGACTGGTGCTGTTTTAGAGTGCCACCAGCCATGTATTCGTAGACCAGATAGAGCTTCCTTTCCGCTCTGTTATCACAATACCCTATGAGCTTGATGATGTTGCGGTGCCGGAATCTAGTAAGCCAATTGGTTTCGGCCTGAAATAAAAAAATAATATTAAAATTTTCAAAACAAACAAAAGATTAGTAAATAAACCTCAAGATTTGCACAATGGGTGAAATGGTTCCATGCCAGGTATTTGCACAATGCTAATTTCTGGTCTGTTCTACCTAAACCTCAAGATTCAGTGGTTTGGAAGCAAAATTTTGGAAGTCAGAGAGTTCTTAAAGGGCAATGTCACATACAATCTGGGTAATGGTAATTCTTTCAGCTTGCTTGAGGATCCATGGTGTGCAGTTATGTCGCTAATTCAGAGATTTGGAGTGACTAATTTCAGGAGCTTTGATAGAAAGGACTTCGTAAATGTTTTAATTGATAATATGAGCTTGTCCTTCCCACCTTTCTTCCCTCAGGTTATGAGTGATTTCATTTTCCAAAAGTGAATTAAAAGATGTCCCTGACGATATTGAATGGAACCATGGGTCATTCACTCTGAAAAATTAGTAGGGTTAGAGAGGAAGACCTTTAAGACGGCCTACTCTTTGTTGGAAATTTAGCGAGAGACGCAATGGCCGTGATCATATTGCACAACAAAAATTTATCGCTACTGCTTATATGCTAGAGAAGTGTGGTGCTCTGTGAGTCTCATAATGCATCTGCCAGAGACCTCTTTCAATACCATCAATCAGCTTGTGAAATGGATTTTGCAGAACTCTACAAGACAGAACCACAAATCCAAGATGCAAAAGTGCCTCTTCTCTGTTTTTCTTTGGATAATTTGGGTTGAAAGAAACTCTGCTTTTCATAATGGATTTAGAGACACTGCCATCTCTATAGTGTGGGAAGTGCAACAGTTTTTGTCATTAGATTTATCAGATATGTTATGTTTGGTGTGTTTGCTATTGGAAATTGATACTTCCTTCCATTTTTGTAATAGATAAGTGCTCTCTCCTTGCCAAACAGGGTTGGAGATTGAGGATTGGGGAAGACAGTTTAAAACACCAATGGGCCAGTGGCTTCAAAGGGAGGACAAAAGGGTTTTAGTACCAATAAAAAAAAAAATAACAATAGAAAAAGGAAGACAGCTTAAAGCATAAATATTTTTCATTCTCATTTTATTTTATTTTTTTGGTTCTAGTACCACCAATTAAAAAAAAAAAAAAAAAAAAAAAAAAAAAAAGGGAAGACAGTTTAAAGCATAAATATTTCTTCATTCTCATTTTATTTATTTTTTGGTTCTAGTACCAATTAAAAAAAAAAAAAAAAGAAAAAGAAAAAAAGGAAGACAGTTTAAAGCTTAGATATTTTGTGTTTGTTATTGGAAATTGATACTTCCTTCCATTTTTGTAATAGATAAGTGCTCTCTCCTTGCCAAACAGGGTTGGAGATTGAGGATTGGGGAAGACAGTTTAAAACACCAATAGGCCAGTGGCTTTAAAGGGAGGTCTAGGGTTTTAGCACCAATAAAAAAAAAATAACAATAAAAAAAGGACAGTTTAAAGCATAAATATTTTTCATTCTCATTTTATTTTTTTGGGTTCTAGTACCAATTAAAAAAAAGAAAAAGAAAAAAAGGAAGACAGTTTAAAGCATAAATATTTTTTCATTCTCATTTTTTTTTTTTTTTTTGGTTCTAGTTTCAATTAAAAAAAGAAAAAGAATAAAGGAAGACAGTTTAAAGCATAAATATTTCTCATTCTGATTTTATTTTATTTATTTATTCTTCTTGCATCTCCAAAGAATAGCTCTCTGTGGCATGGAGGAGAGTGTGCCCGCTAGCAAAAGTAGCACAAGAAGGGATTAGATGGGGGTTTTCATGGAGGATAAACATGGGCCAGAGTAATGATTTATTTTTTTTTTTTTCTAGTCAAATCGACTTGTTAAACCAATCTGGTAATAGAATCCGATTGTGTGATCACAAATAAGAAAAATAAGACATAAGGTGTTGTGTGTGATTCATTCAATGTAATAGAATGAGAGCAAATAAGGTTTCTGAATTAGGTAAGTAAACTATATTGGGGAAAAGATACATATTCATTCTATGGTTCTCAAGGACCGAGGTAGCAAACCTGCCATTGTGCCAACAGATTCGCCCAGTGTTCATCGCTAATCGCCGGTTTAAAGACTTTAATGGCTATATCACGGGGATCCAGTCCCTGTATAGCCATCCTTCCCTTATAAACTTTACTAAACCTTCCCTCCCCTAGTTCATCTGCAGGTAGATAATCACTGAAGTCTTTCATTTGGTCCTGGGTAAAATTTATTATATAAGCCATTTCCTGTAAAATAAAAATACACACACGAGAGGGAAAAAAAATAAAAATAAAAATAGAGATAGAGCAGGTGGACAAATTAGTCTGGTACCTAAATAAAAAACAACCGAAGACTTCAAGCTTCAAATTAACACACGAGAGAGAGAGAAAAATAAATAAATAAATAAATAAATAAAGAGAGAAAAAGGAAAGAAAAAAAAGTGCGTGGAAAAAAAAATAATAAAAAAAAAGAGTGCGTGACGTGGAAAAAAAATAGAGAAAAAAAAAAGGAAGAAAGAAAAAAAAAAAAAAAAAAAAAAGCGTGAAAAGGAAGAAAAAAATCATACCGATTATTTGTGATCTGACAAGTCTTCAGAACTATTGTAATTGATATCAAACCTAAAATAGTGGTGGTATATATAGGTAACTAAATATATCCTATTTGTATTGGGATTTGTATAATTCAGTTCAAATTGCAAAGTAAAATTTCAATCCAAAATTGGATAGAAAGGAAACCTTACAATCCTATTTTACAATCCAAAATTCCATAGGGAAGTGAAAAAAAAAATAATCAAGTTGGATACTTCGAGTCCCACTTGAAAAAGGAGACAAGACATGTCAAATGTAGGACTCGAAGTGGGGCAATTTGTAAACACTAAAATTTTAGTGTGCTTTGGTTTTGACAAATAGACCCATTAAATATGGGCCTAATATTTAATTAAGTTATTTAATTGATTCAAGTTTGATTCACTTAAATTATTTAATTAGCCCGACTCAGTTGATTAAATATAAATGTAGTTATTTCTAATAAAATATATTTGGAATAATTATTTTTAAGGATAATTATTATAATATAACCGACCCAGCCCAGTTATTATTTTATCCTTATCAGGAGATGACACGTGTCATCATCCTATGGATCCAAGAAGCCTATAAATAGAGGCTTAGAGGAGGAAGAAAAGGGTACACAAAAATTAGAGTCCAGAAATTAAGATAAAAAATCCAAAAGGTCTAGAAATTGAGATCAGAAATCCAGAGGGCCACAAATTCAGTCAGAAACAGAAGCTCTCATCCCCAATATCCAAACCCAAAGGCGAAGAACACCAAACACATCCATCAAATCGTGCCGGTCTTCATCAAATTCCACGGTTCTTTATTCAAATTCCACACCAACAACAAAAAAGGAGATCGAATCAGAGGACCATTTTTTTTGTAAAAAATATTATAAAGGATTGTACTCCACATTCATAAATTAATAAAAATTATTATTATTGTCCATATTTTGTTTCTATTTGTGGGACAACAAAATTTGTGTATACAAATTTTTTTTTTTTTTTTATAAATAAAATAAAAAAATAGAGCAGCTGGACAAACTTGTAACACCCCTCTGGCCCAGAAAATGTTATAGAAAAAGTAAATAAAGACGGACAAGCATTTTCCAAATCAATTTTGCCAAACAAGCGAAGAACACTTCAAGTTTAAATCAGTCCCAACCAAGTGAAAAAAAAAAAATCACGCACGAACGAATTAAATAACAATCAACGTTTGTGAGGACCAGAGAACTGCCGGAGAAATGAAGCGATGCCGACGGAATTTTGGGATAAGGGTTTTACATATAATAGGGTTCTGTCTTTAGGGCATCATTCGTGTTTGGGCTCCAATGCTTGGGCCTTTTTTGTTGGGGTTCAGACTGTTTTTGTTTGGGTTTAGCCCACTTGTACATTTCATATATCTATACAAGTTTAATTTCCGAAAAAAAAATTATATGTATGTATATGGGATTTGGTAAATTAAAAAAATTGTCGATTATTTAGGTTGGGTTGATTTGATATGGTCTGAAATGAAATAATTGAAATATATACTACGTACCAATAGGGTGGTCTTAATTAGGCAGGTCCAAACTCAATTTGTAGCATGGGTCCAAATTGTCTGTGTCTGAACTGGGCCGGTGATTTTAGAGCTTGGGCCGAGATTGTTGAACGTTCACCTCAATATATAGACTTTGCTTCAGGAATTCAATAGAAATAGAATTTTTTATTATTATTTTTTTCCTTAATAGAAATATAATTAAAGAAAGGCGATGACGACTTTGATTCTGAAATTCGGTGACGAAAGACAATGACATATTGTCTGTATTTTAGTATTTTCAAATCATCATTAAAAATAAATCTATAATTCATCATTAAAAATAAATAAATATTTTAATAAAATAAATTATTAATTAAAAATACATAGTTACCACTATTAAAATATAAGTTAGGCTGATATAGCAGCAGAGCAAAGTATACTGGTGCAACTCCTCCTCCTCCTCCTCCTCCTCCTTATTATTTATATTTTCAATACAGGCACTCATACTCTCTCAATATCTTTTTCTTTAAAATACTCAAGAAAATCGTTAAATATGTTTTTCTTTTAAAATATACGTTTTTTGGATGATCACCCAAAAGCTTGTCGCTAATCAAAAAGTTGAAGTAATGTCGCCTTATTTAAGTTTTTTTGAGTTTCCATCCGTAAATATACGTCCATATTGCTTTCCAAAATGAAAGAACTTCTCTTATGTTGGTCGTTGTCCATGGAGGCAAGAATAGAGTTTCTTTCTCCGCACCTCCCCAATGAAAGTAGAGCCCTCTTTGTTTTTATTTCAATGGGTTAATTTTGTTTCCCTTTATTTGTTTATTTATAATAATTTCAGTCTTGCTTGGCTTTCATTTCTTGCCTATCAATCAATTGCGAAGTTTTCAAGATTGTTTTTTTTTTTTTTTTTTAAAGCATTGTGGCCTTGCAGAGTCTCTGTTTTTATCATTGTTAAAGTCTATTTTTGGTTTATTCATAATTCTGTATGCAATGATTAATATGGGTTTGATTTTTATTTACTATGGTTATATATAGATTTTACTGTATATGTAAGTTTATGGGTTTGATTAATGCTTTCTTTATAAGATTTTGGGTTTTACCCAATCTTTCTCTCTCTATAATGGTAGTGTACATGCAAAAAGAGTAATGGGTTTGATATTTCTTTACTATGGGATTATATAGTTTTTACATTGAATTGATTTTTCTGGAAAGTTACATGAGTAATTGAATTTGTTTCTTCAGTTCTCTCCTTTTAATTTTATTCTTAGTTGGTTTTCTTATCTTCTATTTATAAATTGCAGAGGTATATTAAGCACACAAGGAAGTCGAGTTTTCTTCTCTAGGAACGGGTATGCCTATAACCAAACACGATTTGATTTTATTTATTGGCATCATCTTTGTCTTTCAAATTTATTGATTATTAACTGACATGAACATATTTTATTTCTTGCTGCAGTATGATGAATCGTTACAATTGTTTTGTATGATTTTCATTTCTTAACAATATCTAAACCAAATTTGAATATTTGTATAGACTTTTGGAGATTGATTTAACTTTTATATACATCAACATTTATGCTTCTGAATTGTCTTTCTTATGCCTTGTTTATGAACTGTATTGTTTGTTTCATTTTTTTCTATTCCTTCGAGCTTGTAGAGTCTTCAATTTGAATCATGGTGCCCAAGACCAAGGCACATCATCCCCTCCACGGAGGGGATCCGGATTGTTTGTCTATATTGATTTTCGAACCTCCAACTCTCACTCTATGAGATTGAGGAAATACTTTGGGCTTGCTTGGTTTGTCACTCGGAAAATAGTTTTCTGTTTTGATTTAATGGTACAAAAATCCTACTTAGTTTAGTTTTTTTAAAATTCAATTATAATAAGGCATGTGTTTAGCATTCGATAAGTAGTTTTCTATTTTTTTTTTTTTTTTTTTTTGAGTTATTGAGAATTGTTTTATGAGTGACAAATGCCCTTGATAACTTCGAATTTTCCATTTTAGAGTTTTATGTTTTTTTATTATTATTATTTGCCCTTGATAACTTCGAATTTTCCATTTTAGAGTTTTATGTTTTTTTTTTTATTATTATTTGAACTTTGTTGTGAATTGGTATGGATAGCTTACATAAGCCTATTTGTTATGTTTTCTCAAGCTAGTTCTCAATAACTAAAAAAAATAGATTAGAGAATATTTAATAGTACTTCCTCACCTTCCAAAGTGATGATCAAGTACAAGTTTTAGAGGGAAAAAATGAATAATAATAATAAAGTAAATTTCAAAATTTGACAATCAAACAAAATATTGGATTATTTTCAGTTATTAGAAAATAGAAAACTTGTATGAAAAACTAAACCAAACAACCCTTTAACTTTCAATTTCACCTCCACCCCAGGGCATATATGACATCAATCAATACGTTTTGCGAGGGCATTTTTAACACCACCCATATAGGCTCACTGGTATTTGAGCAATTATTCTGAAACTCATTATATCATCAAACTAACACTACCACACTTTGTTTGGTTTGATTCCAAAATTCAAAGCAATGCTCACTCACTGTACCCTACTAATTCACCTGCCATTACTTTATCAGGACCATGAATATGGTCTGTGCCATCACCTACTTGAAAGACAATACCGGTATTTACAATCTTTACTTCATTGATCATTTATGCTTTTGAGTTTATAAACTGTATTGTTTGTTTTGTATTTATTCTATTGCTTTGAGCTTATGGAGTCTTGAATTTGAATCATGTTTTTAAATGTTTCTAGGCATGGAATCTATGCCTCAAATCTTGGAATTTTTAGGAAATGTAGTTTAATGCTTTTAAGTTGATTTGCATGAACGTTGGTTGAATTATTTTAGACGTCTATTTCTCTCAAGTCCTCTATCAGTGTTATCACTTGCTTCTCCCAAACTATGTTCGGAAAAGAAAGCAAAAGAAAATAAAATTGTTTCATGTAGTTTCACTATAGGACATATTTGTCTTTTTTCATGGTTTCATATGAAAATTTAACTGTATATATTGGTACTGACCATGTGTGCCACCATACTTTAATGAAATAGGTCCAACTACGGAAATGCTCAGAGAGTATATAATCTCAGAAAATACTCCCCCGGGGAATTAGAAGATTTGACCAGTAATTTTAGTGAAGCAAACCTGA